CTGCTACAATTAGGTGAAACTGTTCAGCACATTTGGAAAATACTCCCGAGGGTAAAGTTAGCAATTAAGCGGAGCATCGAATTCATCATAATACCCTTTCTTTCCAAAATAAAATCTCGGTGGCAAAATCCAAGGGGATAAAAACTCAGCTCCAGGAAATTCAGGAAACAAGTTTTACGAATTTTTTGAGTATCTGAGATCAGATGTACTGTAATTATACCCTCAAAAACGGCAAAATCAGGTGTTCTAAGAAAACCGAGGCAAACATAAAAACGATGAACCGCTCAGAGTAAAAATTGTGATGTTAATTTCAAAAAAGCACAAAAGACTACAGTAGAATTCCAACAAACCTCACAAACGACTTTATTACTGGCTATAAACTCGTTCACATCCTTCACCACAGTATCCACAAAAAGCCGGTTGCGGGCAAGAAAAGCCATACCTAAAATTATTCAAACTTCTTTGGACAGAACTTTTTTTCACGAATACTCCCTATCTTCTCTAAAAAATTTGGAATTTTGCCAAATACAAAGAAGTGGTATTTACCATTAGTATCGTGGACGAAATGTCGTAATGGTTGTACTATAGCTAGACGTTCAGCGGAAGTTGCAGTAGTGGAAGACAACCGTGAAATAAGAAAATCAAGGGCACCAAACTCTCTCAAAGCGGCCCGACCCCAGGCTTCCTAAAAATATTTTATATCTATAAATAATCTTGTAGACGTGGTGAGTCATAATAAGCAAACTTTATCAGTTTGAAGAGTCCCTTTTAAACTCATAAGAATGACAAAAAAATTTTACAAATTGATGCTGACCGAAGAAATTCAGTTCATCTAGATGGGAAAGCAAGATTTGTAGTCATTTTTGTGTCCATAAAATAGACAAAAACAAGAAATATGATTAAATTTAACTTCCCTAATTTTCTAAACGTGTCTAAATTGTGGAAAGCAAATCTGTCAACCGCTCTCAAGAGACAAAGAAAAAACAATTAACGTACTTGCGCAAAAGCTGCCAATAGTCTGCAGTTCAGAGCCCCTTCATCTTTAGTCTCAACAATTTTCTGAATGATCTGAGCTTCTCCCATCCTGAAAGATGAAAATAGTCACAGTAATTAGCACATATTCGTACCTGTCTCTCATGTCCGTAGACCCTTCACAAAGCATTACGAGTAACTCCTTAGCTCCTTTCACTTCATCAGAAAAGAAAAGATTGAGAAGACGTTCGGCGCATTCACTGGAAAGATTAGCACATTACGAAACTCTTCATCACGCAATCTCTATGAAAAGTAAATTTTGAAGCAGCGAATACAGACCAGCACGCTTCCAAGGTCTATGGAGATAAACTCGCTTAAAAAAGAAAAAAGTAATGTTTTGTTTCATGATGAAGTCAGAGAAATTGTGCAAATGTCTTATTCTTACTTTGAAATTTTTAAAACTCCAAGACTTTAGTTCTTCCTTAGCTACAAATTAGCTTTGCAAAAAGATATTTATGGGAGCTCTGCATATATCCCATATGTCACCTTTTTTCACTAAAATTTCGTGGTTATGAACGAAGATAGTATGAAAAAACAACATGAAAATTTCTCAGAAGCCTAGACCAACTAAATGCCCCTCCATTCAGAAGTTTCTAGCCCCACCCCTCACCTCCCAAAAAAATTCTCGGATCGTCACCGCTAGAGAAGAAAACTAGAAAATAAGTAGCTCTGAATAAATAGACACGAAGAGCTGAGAACTAGCTAAGAAATTTCCTACTTAGACTCTAAATTTTCCTAAATCATATAAAAATTGTTTTTTCCAAATACATTTTGCACGGTTTTTCTAGTGATTGTCAATTCTTCCCTAACACTACAGACTCTAATTGTCCGTATGTCCAAACACTGCTTATCTATTGTTTGCAGAAAGACTGCCCTTTGTGCTATCACGGTGCCCTGCACATTGCATCTCCACAAGTGCATCAAAAGCTCGTAAAATCTTTTTGAAGCACTCTCTAGACCGATTTTTACGATATTTTACTTATCTGAGGAAGAGCAATTGTAAACACGAGTATTTATGATCATACATGCATGATTAGAATTTTAGAGACCCCCAACAGACTCGAACAAAGATCTTCTCTCCGGAAATTGAGAACAATGAACAACTGCTATGCGTGGCCGAAGAAAAACTGGTCTAGACGATGAAAAGTCGGCAATCGTCATACTACCACATCTCAGACCTCGACAATGGGCTCTTGTCTAGGGATTCCACTCACATATACGAGTGGTATCTACACTGAAGCAAAAATATCAGAAGCTGTTTCCGCTTTGTCGTGGGATTGCAACTTCCTTCTT